TCGACCCCTATCGACCCCCGGTCGAACCCATTGACCCCTGATCCCTGACCTCGGCCGAGTCACTATCCGGTCCGGTTCTGAAAACATAGTATACATTCCGAGTTGATTAACGAGGGCTCTTATGTACTCTTGGACGAGCTGCATATATATTACTACTTTGTACATTCTTCTTGGGGGAGTGTAAAATCAAAATTGGTCCATAATTAGAATTTGGCAACTTTTATTTTCTTAAAGATGCTTAGATAATTGGTATTAGGATTCGTTATAATTGATGGTTTTGTGTTATTAAGATAATTGAATAAATTAGAGCATATATTAACCTATCACAGTTGTTGGTATTGTTTTGCATAGGTAATTGATGAAACACTGCGAGTAGTAAACCTCTCATTTGCACTCTTTCGAGAAGCAAAAAGTGACGTAGACATAAACGGTTTGTTATTACCTTACCTTTCTCTCCTTGTATCAATTTTATTTGGTTGTGACTTTTAATAAAAGCGAGGTCTCTTAGGTTATACGATACCCAAAGGATGGAGAGTTTTACCATGGATCAGGAACGTTCATTTTGATCCTCAAAACTACAAGAGCCCAAAAGATTTCAACCCCTCAAGATGGGAGGTACGTGAAAGCTTTAATTTGGTATTTGTTTTGACAAATTGTATCTGTAGAATAAATTTTTTTGTTGGCTAAAGACTAGAAGAAGGAAAAATATAAAGAATCCTCAATTTTGTCTGTTTGAAAAAAAATCTCAGGATCCCGCAATCAAAATAGGGACTCTGGTTCCCTTTGGAGCTGGTAGTCGGTTGTGCCCCGGTGCAGATTTGGCCAAGCTTGAAATTTCTGTCTTTTTACACTATTTCCTTCTAAACTACAGGTAAAAATTCGAGATTTGCATTACTTTTTCTCCCTGTTTGAGAAGTCCTTTTCTTTTGCATTGTAGTTTTTATATATCAAAATTATTTTTGGCAGGCTTGAACGCATTAATCCAGGAAGCAGGGTGCAATACCTACCAATTACTAGGCCGGCTGACAAGTGCCTGGCTAGAATCAAGAAGTTGACAAAGTCATATGCATGAATTAGTAGTACGCTACAAAGATGTTGACCAGCTACCGGCTTGTTATAGTGATATATAAATATCTGTATCTAGATATATATAAATTGAAAATATGCTTCTTTTCATCTTTGGTGATTGTATATTCAAAGCATCCACATTGGTCTGTAAATGGTTCTGTGTATGCTGTCAAAATTTAAGACCCGTGTGGTGTGTATTTATCAGGTAAAATAATAACAGCAAAAGAGAGTCTTTTTTTTTCATTTTTTTTAAATTTGAATGAAAGGATTCGAATTTAGAACCTCTCACTTACATTCTTTCGAATTCAGAACCTTTTACTTACATTTTCATTTTTTTTCATTTTTTTTTCATATGCAAGTTAAAATATTACTACAAAATTAATAGCGAGATGTTCTTGGCACTCCTTAAAAAGTCTCTAACACTCAATCTTCCGTTTATGCTTTTAAAAGGAGAATGAAGTGTTAGAAACTTTTTAAGAAGTGCTAGTATCATTTTATCTCTGCCAAAAGTAACTTTGTGATTTGAGTAAATTTTGTGCTAATATCATTTTATCTCAAATCAAAAGTAATTGTTGTGAGTCTCAAATTTTATCTAAATCACAAAAATACCAAATAAGAGCTTTTACCAAAAGTACTTTTAACACCAAAAACTTAATTCCTAGTTTTATAGAATGATATTCATCAAACGCTTTAAAAATACTTTTAACATATAAAAATTCTTTTTTATCAAAAGTACCGCAATTTCAAACGAGCCCTTAGTATTTTTCAATCAGTCAGCGACTAGAATGGGCCACCAAAGAACTAGTTGGCTAGAAATCTTGATCTTCAATTTCTTCCATTTCATTATAAGGCCAGGCTTCGAAGCCATCCAAAAGTTGCATGACTTCCTAAGATGTCAACCACATCTAGATCAGTCTTTCTTGCAGACCATTTGTAAATTATTTTACACATGCGGTCACTTTAATTTCAATTTCTTTTTTTTTACACATGTAGAATTTATCTAAACCTACTTATTTAAGAAAATATTTTATTGCTTAAAGGGATGCATTTGTAAATTATTTTACACTTATACATACGGTGCATGTCACGTCACTTTAAAATTTAAATTTAAATTTCTTTTTTTACACATGTAGAATTTATCTTATACTCTAACTTATCCCCACATATATAATGAATAATGCACTACAAAAGATAGATATTGCAACAAAAAAAAAAAACAAATTTGTAAATTGCAGCAACAAAGACAAAGAAATGGTCTTGATTACATGGGGAGAATGCATGCATTATGTGGAAAGGGAAGAAATTAAGAAGCCATAAAAGCAACTTCAAGTAGTTATCTTTGCGTCGAGATGATGGTTCGTTCACATGAAGTTCTCAGAATGGTATTGATTTCAACCAGTTAGTCCAGGGAAGGTAAATATGTAGCAATACAAGTTTCAATGGCCTCCTTCTTCTTCACAGAACTTTGTATATTCTTTTGAACCCATTAAGGATTCCAGTTCTGATGGGTTGCTGGGCTTTACCTTAATCATCCATCCATCTTCATATGGACTTGAGTTGATCTTCATACATAGCCAAAATTCAATACAAAAACGAATCATTTTCTTTCTAAATAAGCTCAAGGGAATGATGCAAATGAATAAATAACCTGGTGATGGAGTAGGGATGGAAGTGTGAGGATTACTTACCAAACCAGGGGTCTCGCTGAGCTTGGAGTTAACCTCAACAACCTCACCAGAGATTGGAGAATTAACATCGCTGGTGGCTTTTACACTTTCAACATTTCCAAAACTTTTGCCTTGGCTAACAACAGAACCAGCATCCGGCAGCTCCACGAAAACCACTTCTCCAAGATGATCCTGAAAAAATCATGCCCAAATTCAACCTTCTTTCACTCTTTATATATCCAATGAAGGGAACAATGATTAGCCCATCATCTATAAATTTCTAGCTTTCAAGTAAGTTTCGAGTGCTAATTCTGCATTTTCGCTAGAGCTATATACCTTTTTATCAATCATCAACCTGTACAAATCAAGCGGAAACTAGAAAGTAATGCTAATTGAAGGTGAAAAGATTACTGACTTTGTTTGATGAACAAAGAGGAGCAACAGAGTATAACTCTTTACCTGAGCATGGTCAGTGATACCAACTGCAGCCACCGGGCCTTCATGCTTTACCCATTCATGCGAGTTTGCATACTTAAAGCCTTCCAGAACTGCAAGATTTAGAAATGTGTATCAATTTTTAGTGTCTAATAGGATTCATAGCTCCTAAACAAACATTAAACTTACAAATAAGACTATCTATATATATATATATATAGATACCAGTAGAAAAGCATCTGGAGAGAGAGAAAGCAGGAGAGAAGTGAGGTCTGATGGCAGTGGAGAGTTTTAGTGCATTGGCTGTAGAAGAAGCCCACATCCTCATTGCCATGTTATCTTCTTTACGTGCTCTGTGCAGGCAGCTTGGATTTGGTCGTGTCAATGAAAAAGTGGAGTTGTTACTATATAGTTCTTGTTTTTATTATCTCCTATGAATGGTGCAAAATGAAAGCCTCATCCTTGGGACTAAATTCTGAGACCAAGTGTGCTATATTTAAATTCACTTGTACTATATATATTCTATTACGGTAAATGATCTTTTGTTGATTTTTCTTCTAAATAGATAGATGCTTATCCACAACTGCCCTATAAATGTCCTGGGATTAAAGTCAAGGACATTCATTATTTCAATATATATACATCCAAACTTCATCAATGGATTTTGATAATATACACAAGGATTAATCTACACGTATCACATTTTACAAAAGAGTAGATACATACGAACCGATCTGTGATCCTCACACTTTTATATGAAATGATCCATATAGATATAGTTTGTAGCAGAATATCACTCTAAAATTAAGTTCTATGTTCTAACATAAATCAAACAACAAATTAAACATTAGGTGATAGGCTTCAATAACTCAAGAGCAAGTTGCTCCACATTTATATCCAAAGTAATATTTTTTTTTTTTAATTTGATCTCCTTGTCACATATGTGAACAGTCAAATGTTAATAGACAAATTGTGCTTTTATTAACTAACATCTTAACCTTGTATTGGACAATTTAACCATTGGAAGTCTTTTAATAGTTGTTTTGAACAGCCAAATTAAGAGGAGATCAAGTGTTACTAGTAAGGCCTCCCGTCTCTCGCCCCGCTGCCTACAAATTCCCCCCGCCCCCATTCCCGTCCTGCCCCGTCCCGCCCTGCCCCGTTTTTCCCGCGGGGTTAATAAAAATTTATTATATAATTTTATTATAGTTAAATTTTAACAAATAATCAAGTACTAAAATATCAACACATCACCAAATTATTATTCATTGTAATTTCACAATTGAAACTTATAAAAACAATCAAACAAAAGTTATTTGAATACAATTCAACATGATGAAATAAATACAACTAAAGTAGTCAAGTTTTCACTTTTGGCACAAATACAATCACTAATTCATTATTGTGTTTATGCTTTTTTTTTTGAGAAAAAAATGTTATTATATTAAGTGTAATTAGGGATTTAGTATAAATGTATTAATAAATTTATTATGACCAATTAATAATTTGTATTAGCACACATATATAGTTATTAGTATAATTGATAATATCAATTATATTACATATACTAATATACATTATATAATACATATAACTAATAACATCATTTTCATAAGTTTGTAACTAATTAAATTATATATTATATATAATTATATATATACATATTTTATATATTTATTTTTTTAAAGCGAGTGGCGGGACGGAGGTTCACTCCCCCTCCCCATTAGCCCCCGCGGGGCGGGTGGCCATGCCATTGCCATCCTTAGTTACTAGAATAATGTCAAAGCTAAAGTGAATAAAACACTAAATCTTGGGGAGTTTAAACTAATTAACCAATAGTTTTAGTATTATTGATTGGTGGTAATTTTGTCACCACGACAAAAATTGAGGGTACAAATTGCAAATTGCCTGCTCTTGATTTCCTGCCATTTTCCCCCTTTGTTTCAACTTGAGCTTCAGCCATATTAAAGATTTTTGTTCCCCGAATTGGCTGTCGGATTCCTTTCGAAGTTTGATGAACTGATCGGACGATGGCTGAGATTGAACAGGACGGTCACCGTGGAAATGAAATTGAAGAGAGCAGAAGCAATTCGACTGCGGAAATTACTCTCAAAAAAATTGGTCCTTCGCCTCCCTCTCGTTTAATTGTTCCGTCTTCAATCAAAGTAATTGGGATTTCTTTTATCTGTTCTATTTCGATAGATTTGTGGAATTATTTGTGCTTTCTTTTCTGTGAGCTTCTGTTTGATGTTATATATCATTTCTTTGAATTTTCCTTGTTCGTTATGGTGTAAATCGTAAACTTTGTGCTCGATTTTTTTTGTGGAAAAGATGAAGGCTTTAGGGGAAATTATGAGGGGCGTTGTGTGAAATTTTTGCAGCTTGCTTTTGAAATTTGGTGTTCGTGAATAAATTTTACGAAATTTACCGATGAGGCTTTGATATAATGCTTCAAAAGATCAATACTAAGAAAGAGTGTAACAGAAAGGAATAGGAGAAAAGAATGAGCAATGGTTGGGCAATGTAGCCTGTGAACTTGTTTGAAGTGGAATTAAACACTTTATAGTCAAAAGCAGGAAGGTTTAACTCATGGGGAGCTGATTTATCGCATTTTGACTGATCTTTGAATCCAATTTGGTGTCGCATTTTGACTGATCTTTGAATCCAGTTTGGTGAAGTGTTGTGATTGTAGTTGTACATCTGCAAAGTACATAGATATTTTTCATGAAATGTGAAGGCCGTCCTTTAGAGGTTGTGACGAAGTTGTGGATGGGCACTCTTAGTTCTAATGCGTGGATTAGATCATTTAGGCGTTTCATTGTATTGTAAGGAAATGGCACAGAAGAAATACAGAAAGAAAATTATCAAGTTTAGGGGTCAGATATAGCTCTTTCTTTTCATACTTGATTAGCAATAATATCTACTATATAAGCAGAACTACAAGTTCTGAACAGGTGAAAGAAATGTGATAGATTTTCTTTGTCTGATTGTTGGGTCCAAGATATCTGGTTTTCCATCAAGTTCTTCCCACTACTATTTGACTATGATGTAGTTTGCAGCCTTAACTACTGGACAGACAACGTAAGATGTGATATGACTTTCTCTCCCTATAATTGGTTTAAGGATGTCCGATTTTTGGCTGCATTTTTCCTCTGAGTACCTAAGATCCAGGGCGCCCTTGGCCTTCTGATTTTAAGGATTGCTGTCAGACTTCAGAATGGTGTCAAAGAAGATAGTTCTCAGCTTGTTATAGGAAAGTAAATGGTGATAGTTTTGGGCTTGATTAACTTGCTGCTTCCCTCTCTTGCTTTGTCATCTTGAACCCATTGCATTAGATAATTAGCGAGCTGAAGAGAGGATCTCTTCTTTTTCCTTTTTAAAGATAGTGCTTGAGGTCATAAGGCAAACATGCTTTGTGGACATGAGAAGAGTTTTATAAGCAAAGTGAATGGTGATAGATTTGGGCTTGACTAACTTGGGGCTTCCCTCTCTTGCTTTGCCATCTTGAGCAACCCATTTATAGGTAATTAGACAGCCAAAAATCGAATCCCTTCTCTTGCCTCTGTAAAGATGGTGCTTCAGGGCATAAGACCAAAAAGCATAATTAGTGCGTATGTAAAGAGCTTTATAGATGCCTCAAGTTATTATTAAGATATTATCACCTTCTGCAGTGGCAAAAGTATGATATTAGCATTTCATGGGTCTTTTTTTTTTTAGTATTTCATGAGTTTAGGTCCATAATACTTTGAAAAAATGACGAGTTAAAACATGTATCATTAAGGAATTTCAGCTTTTGCAGGTATTGTTATCCTTGGCAGTGATGCATACATTTTGTACTTGTGTTGTAATTCTTCTATGAGTGTGTCATATTTCTCTCTGGTAATGAAATTTAATTGTGTTCTGAAGTTTAGGAATTTGTTCCATTGCCCACTTTTATACCTTTGCCTGGAATTTGAGTCGTTAGCTGGTTCCAAATGTTATGCTTGGTGTCTTTCTGTAACTAAATTTGTGAGAGGAGTTTTTTTTTTCGCTTCCATCTTTTGTATTTAATATGTCTTAACGTACTAAAGGAATGCACTTTCTGTTATTTCTTTTCCTTTTAATTATTTAGAGCAATTTTGGTTTCAAGTATCTAACTCTTGAGAACTAAAGGAGGGTATTTTAACATGTTATGCTTGTGTTCTCTATGCTGCAACATAGGTGCATGACTTGAGAAAATTGATTGCTCAAAATGGAGATTTGCCTAGCGAAAATCTGACGCTTATTTGGCGAGGAAATGTGTTGCATGACAACAAAAATGGCAATGATGTAATAATTCAACTAAAGAACGGAGGTCCACTTCTCAATTCAGCTTCTCTGTTGTTTTAGCCAAATAGTACCTTTCTGCATCTTTTTCTTTTGCTGAAATCCGTTAAGCATAAACTTTTCACACTAGGGATTTTGTGTAGGGCGTATATTTAGATACCTTGAATTATTGATATAACGGAGACATTGTAAGTTCTGACAAATGCATCGTGAAGGAGTGGCATCTTAAAACTTGGCTATTTATTGTTGATATGTTGATACGAACATGTTACATAATACTGCAATGCTATCTGCTGATCCGCTGGTCAAGCCTATAGACGAAGTGTATGATGGAATCCATGGTCAGCTGGTGCTTAAGGAACTTAGGTGATTTTGTACAGTCATTTAACAGCCTTTCTTTTTTTTTATTTTGTCTCTTTCCAATAAATCAATTATTAGATCATAAATTCACCTGAAATGGCAGGAAATTTTCTTCACAATTGTGCAGATACGCAATTAACATGGTGGCGTGAATAGCTCTTATTTCATTTCTGTTTGTTTTATTTGGGATGTTTGTCATTTCTGAATCCTTTGTTACACTGCTATGAACCTCAGAGAAAACATTTTTTTTGTGCAATTGTACGGTTTTGGAGATTTTGAATACAGCTTCGAGTAGATGAGTAGGCTTGTAGGTAATGTTTATATTAGTTTGATCTTTGGAACATGAGGATCCTTTTAAACTGTTGGAATTTCAGGAATAAAGGGTTAAACCAGTTTGCTACCCTCAAATTAGGATTTGCCCATCTAAAAAAATTTGTTTAAAGTTTGCTTACCCCAAATAGAACTCAACTTTGGTGGATGTAAATATTCCTAGTAGCACAATTTTGATTTGTGCTAGTGGAGCTCTCTTAAAAGTAAAGGAAAAAGCTCAATGTCTAGCATGCAAAAACCAACAAAGAAAAATAGTAAAGGATAAAAGTTCTTAATGTTAAATCTGTTTGTCTACTTTGGAAAAGGATCTTTTTCCAATTTGGAAAAATGATAAAATATAAAGAAATGCTACATTTTCTAATCTTTTATCCTACCATGAATAATATTATAAATCAGTTTGTCTAAAGTAATCAAAGAGTTGTAACATCTAGAGTCCATGTGTTTCATTTGGGGAAAATGGATGTTATTCTGGATACTCCTAACAAAGATGTGGACAATAGAAGTTAGGCCATGAAGAATGATGTTCGTTTCAAATATTCAATTTCTCTTTTGTCATGTTTTTTTCTAGCGTGATAACTTTGGTTTCGTAGTTGAGGTTGTCTGGGATTTTCTTTTCGGACACGTCTCACTCTGCTTATTACAAGTGGCATTCTTCACTTTTCAGATTCCTTAATAGTTGCTACTAAACCAAAACCACCTCCAAAGCATGCAGATGATGGTTTGGATGATGACGATGATCATGAACTGGTTGGTATAAATCTTTTACTAATATATACAGGCATATTTTTTCCTTCTATTTTTCAATTTGTCTTGCTTTTTTCTTTATTTGTCTGTGGGGTGTTTGCACTGTTGTTCTCAGTTTCATTGTGCTCTGTTTCATCTCATTTCTTCTTATTTCTACATTTTAGAGGTTTCAACTTCCACAATCAGTCACTGGGTGGAAAAGGAGACTTTTCATTGCATTACGTGAGAAGTTGAAGTTACCCGGTGAGCATTTGATTTTACAGTCTTTTTTTTTATAGGGAGTAAGATGGCAAAGTCCTGATCATCTGTTCTGATTCTGCTTTAACCTATGTAGATATCCTTTTGATGGCAATGGTCTCGCTTAGTGTAAAGATGTGGATTCTAATTGTTTTATGGTTTATTCTGGCACCTGTTGCCCAAAAATTGGATCTTGGCCCTTTATATGTAAGTGTTGTTCTCTGCTTCTCTCTTCATTTGTTTTAGATTTCTGGTTTCTTTTATATCCTATAAGATCGAAGTTTACTGTGACTGTGATAACCTGTATGAAGAACTAGTCATGTGCATGGCATTCCTGTTTCATGAAAATGATGAATTTGTCGGCATCTGAAGGTCAAAAGATTAAAGTTATAGTCAAGATAGCCATAATTATCCTGGCAACAAGACTAGTTAGATTTTGGTTTGGTTAAAATACCTAATGGGGTAGTAGATAAACCAAATCTGCATAGAGGGCTCTTTTGGTACTTTCTTTTCTGAAACTTACTCCTGTGGAAGCACATTGTTGGTAAGTTTTCACAAATGTCTCGTCATGTGAACCAAATTGGATAAAGCACTTGCTCCATGTAATCTTTTTTGAAAAGAGTTTATAATCATATTTTACCTTACCTATTGTTGTTATATTTTAGGTACTTGCAACAGGGTTTGCTATTATCTTCTACAATCTTGGACAGCGACAACCTGGTGATGTCAGGTATGTGCTTGAAACATTGACTATTATTAGTTGTTCTGATATTTTCCTGGTGCATAAAATTTTTGTATGTATCTTACTTAGAATGAGGTAAATATTCTACTTGGAACAGCAAAGTGAAACAAAGCTTGCGCAATGTGTCAACTGCAATCTCAACTTTGTCGGAATGTAAACTTTGAGTATCATTGCATTTGCTATTTTCGGATCCGTTAGAAGCTCCTATGTTTCTGTAGACAGATTGGATATATTGAATAATGACGTGGGAAATCAAGTAAAATAAGGAAAAGCATTAAGAAAATCCATATCAAGGAAAAGCAACTGTAGGTAGATTGAGCAATAGCTTAAGAAAATTGGATTAGTCCTCAGAGTTGTATAAAAGAAGTTTCTACTTTTATGCAGGGTGTGCGCTCTATATTATTTCAAATGTTGTTTATCCTTGATGGTAACAGACATTATTCTTATGCGACGTAGATGTGCCTCCCACTCCCACAACCCAAAAAAAAAATCTATTTTAAAACATGAAGCAAGTAAAAACATTCATGAGGTTGCAATTCATGCACATGACCTTAAATTTTCTCATCTATGCCCCGATTTGCAATTTCTGCTGTGGCTCTTACCTTTTTTCTTTAAATTTTTATTTGGTGGAAGTGGGTGTGCTAAGGCCACCCAACATTTGATTTTCTGTTGATCCTCTATGTTTCAGCAATTAGATAGGTTTGAAACCAATCAATCATCAATCAACAGCTCAAATGTATCAACTTTGGGAATTGGCCCCTTGGCAAAGTTACTGTGTCCTTTCTTTTGCTTCTCTTTCTCTTCATGTTGCATCCTATGCAGTATGCTGAGAGATTCTATATCTTCTGGCATCTTTGTGTGTTCAAGTAGTCTGTTGCTTCTATGATTTCCCTTTATCATCTAATCATACAGGTCTGGAGTTGTACAGGGTTTTTAGTCTCTAATGATCCTTCACTTCTGCAGTGCATATTCTATCTTCAATGAAGATTTCAGGGAACTTCCGGGGACCCTTAATGCTGAGCGCCTAGACAGAGACATTCGAGCTGGTCAATTTTGAGTGAGATGTAGTCGGCAGTGCCAAATTTTGTGCCATCAAGATACATGTGCGATAACTGTACAGGAAACATGCTAATCCTTAGCTTATCTTTAATTGAAAAACTGCAAATCAATTTTTTGTGCTGACTAAAGATAAAGCTACTTTGGTGGTGAAATTTGCTCTTAAACCCGGATGGCTTATCTCTCCACTAGTTTCTTTACCCCCAAAGAGCTAAACTTTGTTTGCATCTGTGTTAGCCTTTTGATTAGCATTTTTTCTACCACAATGCACTTGTTCTTTTTTTTTCTTTCCTTAAGAAGATCGACTTGCTAAACCAAATATCTTGAGATTTTGGGTCATGGAATGAGTAGGGTAAAGCGTGCCCTTTTTTTTTTTTTCCCTTCCTTTTTCTTGTTTCTCCGGTTTGACATGTAAATGCTCACAATCATTAGCTTACTGATTTAATTGCATAAGCTTTTAGACAACAATTTTTGTCATGGTACATCTTGAACTTTTTTGTCTCAACTCTCAATATATAGCACACTCCAAATAAAGATGTAGAGCTGGAAAATTAAAGCTATGTTTGGATTGCAATTTTCCAAAGAAAAATTGCTACTTTTTTTGCCGACACATTTTTTAATCGTCTTTTTACTTCATATATATCAAATCGTTACAATAATTTTTTTACAAAAAAAGTCCAGAAAAATGCAATCCACTACAATTAAACAACATGAGAGACACATTTTGTAATGAAAATGTGTAAAATATGAGATGAATCATCATTCAAGATTCTTTTCAAATTTCAATTGCTTGACTCTGGATTTGTTAATGTATACACATTTTTGGTAAATACAAAATTAACTCTGACGCAGATAATCTTATCTGGTACTGGTACTATTTATTTTCGTTGAACGTTGTAAAATTCTCTGTCATCCATACTGTTTAGTTTCATAAAATATTGTAAAATTTGTTATCACCTTTATGTTAAGAATTTCTATGTGTTCTCAATTTCACTCTTGGGTCAGGAAGCCTGGTTGTGACTCTTGGCTCAATGGGCTTTTGGACAAATAGGCATAGACACTACTTTACTTTCGAATGCTGTTCTGTCATGTCTTGGTAATGCTTATACTCTGGACTTCTTCTCCTTTAAAGCTTAACAATTGGTACTAAAAGGCTAGGAGCCCATGGCCATCCAATTATTTTTTTGCCCAAGATGATTCATACAGAAGAAGGACATCATATACTTTTTTCTCATGCATGAAATTTATTTTCCTGAGGCACTGCAATCTTTCCTACTGTGTGTGTCCTTAACCTTGTTTTAAATCCTTCTTAAAGACCATAAAGTCAAATATAAAATCATGTCACATGACTTCCTTCCCTGTCATTTTTTTTGTGGATTTGTTCAACGGACATTCATCAATCAATGGTCCAAGCATTACCTAAGACTGCTAGAACCCACTCATTAGAAAAAATCTACAAGAGAAACAAAGACACGGTTTACCTAGTGTCAGTGCGAGCAAATTATGTCGATGCCAACCAAACTTTTGGAATCGTCGTGTTTTGATTATTGAACTATTAAATGTTTGATTTTGATCATTGAACCATCTAAAATTTAAATTTTAGATCATTTTGTTAGATTCCATCATTAAATATGACAGATCTGAGTACTCGCACAATTCACGAGATAAGATGACCCAGAATCAAAATTTTAGATAGTTCAATGACTAAAACTCATTGATTCTAAAAGTTTACTGGCCACCCGAATAATTTGTTCTGTTAGTAAACATGTAAACGCCGTTGATTTGTGCTTTTTGTTTCCTTTTTTCTTTTTAGTTGAATTACAGTTAGCTAGCGAGTCTTCTTGTCATTTTGTACACTAGAACCAGACTTTCTTTGGATTGTGATTTGTTGGAGAAAAATTTTTACGTTTTTCATGAATATCCATTCTATGTAATTTTTAATCATCTCTTCATCTCGCGCACATTATATCTTTAAAAGCGTTGCAGTAATTTTCTTTTCCCCGAAAACTCTCCAAAAAAAATGCAATCTAAACGGGCTCTGAGTGAACAGAGATATATTTTCTGAATAAAGGAATCAAAACAAAAGCTTTTCTCTGGGCCATTCTGCTGATCCAAAAAAGAAAGAAAAAGAGAAAGTCTTTCGCTGGACACGCCATTTTAGTACTGTGATGAACACTGATAGCTCATGGCAGAGGGCCGTGACAAGAAAATCGTCCTCAGGTACTTTTCCATGGATACAAGCAAAGGAAAAGGATAGATCAAATCATCCCTTGACCATCTGCTTTTACAAGTTTCGTAAACTACCCAAGACCCTCACATTCTTCCAGGCAAAAAAAGGGTCAAAAGAGTTCATTACACATTTGCATATACAAATAATGACCTGGTTTAACAATTAACAACATAATTTTAAGCTATAGCTTTGTTTGTTAATTACTCACTATTTTTCGAAAACATATTTTTAACAAAAAAGTTTCAAACATGTTTCTTAACCCCTTTTTTTTTTGTCTTCATAAACAGATCTATCAATTTAAAAAGGCACTACAGTAAAAGGTATCTATAAACGCCTTACAAAACAAACATCCAAACAGTTGCACATTTGGAAGCTCTCTAAGGAGAATGGAACTATTGTCAGCAGAATAAGTAAATCAACATAGAATACAAGTTAGGTGCGATTTTCACAATTGTAGACAACTAACTAATATTTGTGTCTTATTATCTTCTTGAAGGCGTGTAGTAGTTAATTGGCTAAGATGCAAAACCATTTTTTAAACTAGGTTCTTATCCTCTAGAAACTAGTTAGGTTCTTGAAGGCATTTGTCTTTTGTTAATTGAAAATTTCACAAGGGTTTCATTCATATTGGACATTGACAACTTTTAGCTCCAAAAACCTTAGGTGAAGCTTGTCCTTGCATGTATACATACACAAAGAAAGAAGAAAAAAGAAACCCTAAATCGATCACAAACTTTTGAGCTTTTATTTGTTTATTAGCACATGATCAGTAGTATATAAACAAAATATCACTTAAATCTTGCTAAGGCAGATTAATATTGTATTAAGGGTTGCTACTCATAGGAAAAAATGGGACTAATTAGATGAGGGTTGTGAATGACAAAGACAATTAAGAAACTAATTACCACTTACTTTGCGTGTTTCAACTTTCAATTAGTTGAGGTATATCTAGTTGTTGATTTAAAAAAAAGGGTTCTCAATTGTCGTAAACGTTAGACACACTCTAGAAGCAATATGAATTTAAAACGTAGTGTATAGTGAATGCTAAGGAAAGACTTTTGCATAAAATATACTTTCTTTTGAAGACTTGGAGGGCGACATGTTATAGGTTCTCGAATTGTTCCAACAAGAAATTCAATGTTCTTTATTTCAAAGTGATTGAGACGTGGCTTCAAAAAAGAAAAAAAAAATTTTGGAAGAAACTAGAAGTTCTCAATTATTAGACATGAAAAGTTGGCATCAATGGCCTTGATATGAGCCGCCATGGATGCTAGCAGCCTAGCACCTTCTTTTCCTCTTCTTCCCTTCTTTTTTTTTTTTTTTGGCGATTTTGAATCAAAAATGGAGGGAGACTCCCTCTCTCAAAGATTTCTCTTTTTGTAAAACTAACCGGTAAGTGCAAATGGTTGCGCTAATTCCCTTTCAAATTTCGTCTTTGGTATTTTCAGTATTTTACCACTTTTTTGCTTTTCAAGGGAGGGTGGGATTGAGAAAGAATCAGATGCTTTAATCTAGACGTATTTTTCAGGGCAAGAAAAGTCTTTATGATAGATTTTCAAAAATCTTCTACACCATCAAAGAATTCAAGAAGTCAAAATTCCTTCTGGGCAAGGCAATGAGTTTGATTGACAATCAAGAAGTAGCTTCCTAATATCTTGAATTTTCCATCGTAGCTGCATATTCTTCTTTCTTGTGCTCAGTTTGAAAAAAAAGGCCAAGTTAGAGAAACTCAACAGTGTTTCAAATTTTAAAGAAACAAGAAGGAGTACTAATGAAAATGGATGAGGGATTAGGTAGTTGACCTTACACTTAATGATGATTCTAAATGACTCCACAAAATCTTTACTAGGTAATCCATCCCATCCCACAATTTCATCAACATTCAACTACTTTCTTATGCTTAACTAATGCCAGAGAATTCCTGTGTGTCTTCCAAAGAATAAGATATTCGAACTAATCATGGAAGGATGTCAACACAAAAAGAAAATGACTCGAGAAAACTCCTAAGCAACCACTAAGCCGTACATCCAACAAGCACAGATATAAGAGGTATAAAGCTACTACTATGGAGAAAAAAATTAAAAAGGGTAAAAATTATCAAATGCAGGAAGGAATCATGACACAAAAAAGTAATTAGCAGGATAAACAGACTGATTGACTGATTGATCACTTTTTCAATCACCTTTTATCTCACGTAAAACCGTGCTATTATAAAGTGTTACAGCGAACGAATAAAAAATACAATCAAACAGTCCAAACGCCCGTATGGAAAAGCCGAATTGGTCAATGCCAAGTCAATCAGATGTGGATGCATTAAAGTAAAACAAAACAACATCAAATGAAGAAGATAATTTTTGCGTTTGAAAGGAACTAAAAGAAAAGCAGAAAGGTAGGGCTGTGAAGACATGGATAATCAGCATCAGTGGTAGTTGCATTGCCGGTCCTCGACGGCACGTAACAAAATATACGTTGTAGTAATAGTCAACACGTATATATCAAGAATTCTTCTAATTTTCTCATGGAAAATGCACTGGACCCCAAGCTCACCTACTCAACCCTCGTCCCTCAACAACATCCACTCCACTCTGAGTAGTCTTCATGAACTACTCCTCCAGGAGCATTATAACTTTTTCGTAGTTATTAAGATTTGTTGGGAGTTTTGATTGTTTTGAATTCGCCCAACTAATTCGAAGTAGATGTATCATACCTCAAAAACTGCACACACACACATATGTCTATATATATATATATATATATATATATATATACACTCTAATTAAATAAATTTAGGCAAACCCATATCTGATCAACTAGATTAAAATCCAAAATCATTAGATATCATCCCTAAATATAATTGCGTACACTTTTTTGGAAAAAAAAATACCCTCTCATGAGAAAAGAAAGAAAAAAAAAGGAATGGAACCT